ATCCACTCCAGCATATATACGACATGATTAACTGAAACCAGTGGATGATGGATAAACATTCCACGACGGTCAAAATGGGCACAATCCAAATAGAAAAGTCAAAGAGGGAGGAACTCAGACGGGATACTGTCTTCAGTAATGTAGTATTGTGAGTTTGAGTGGTCCAATCAGTTTAACCAGGTTGTGAGTAGTTTAGGATACATCGGCACATTGGGCTCTTTGTGGCAGCTACTACCGCGTCCTGGAGACAAGTGGTTTCCTTACAAGTCAAGCGTTCCGTCACCTTTCTTCGGAAGTGTTATATCTATTGATTCGCCAATCTGTGGAATCTGCTGCTGACCCGCTCCAGTGCTGCGTGCCTGGAAAAAGATACACAGAAGGGAACACAACAGCTATATTCCGAACAAGCGAGTGCGATAGCGTGGGCGCGTGCTAGTGCGAGAGCAAAAGTTACAACGGGCCCACGGTATTTAAAGAGGATTTTCTGACAGTGATCCAGGATGTCTGATAGGCGTTAGTGAACACCCATCAACATCAATCGCGCCTCTATGACATGCCTGAACGCTGATCACATTCGGTCGTGCTTCTGTGGCATGCTTGAACACTCATCGGCTTTTGCTGAATTGGTTGAATGATTGACTGGTCTGGATGCTTGCCGGCTTTCCTGTTGAGATTTTGGTGGAGCAGTAGGTTTCGGGCCTTATGAGGTTACTTTCAGGAATCTGACCTCCCCAGCGCTACGAACTCCTATTGCATTCCGACGGATATCTCTCACTGTAAACTATCCTAGAGCTTGGGGTCTCTCAGAAAAACTCTTTCGAGGTAACATCAATCTTAATTGTTAGTTGCTCTCTACGTATCCTGCTGCGCTCATAATAGGGGAATACCAAATCACAGACCGGTGCAAAATTCTAACACGAGCGTGAGAGTGATGGCAAGCAATAAAAGCTCTCAGAGACACAAATACCGCAATCCGGACGGTCGATAATGAGTCACTTGTTGTGAGAAAGTATTCTGTTCCGTGGACACTGGCAAATAAACAGTTGTTCACGCCCAGTCATTCAATCTCAAAGGTGAACACAATGAATCTCACTGGGTTGAGGGACCGACGAAATCCTCGTTCACTGTTCCAAGATGCAGCCAATCAAGCAGTCGAATTTCCCCCTCATTGTTACTGGCTTATCCCCGGCACTTAATTTCATCGGCACAGAGTGACCTAGAAGTGACATTGAAGCTAGTTTAATCCAGTTGATATGGTCGGTTTATTCGTTGATCGCTTGAACGATTTTTTACACTCTCACCCACTCCACAATCTGACGACGGAAATTATTTCACATCGCAACCATTCATTCACTTTTCAAACAAGCCGATTTGATGTGAAGGTTGCAAGATGTGAGCCCCAAACCAATATCACCTAGTGATTTCAAAATTTGAGGTGAATCAACCCTATTTGACTAAGTTCTGAATCTTAAAGTGGATTCCTATGGATGGTACCATCCGTCCCCACGAATTAGCCATTAAAAAGAGTTCTCACTTGTCTGCTATCATAACATCGATTTGTGAAACACCGCTAACAGCATTCGGGAAGGAAAATTCAGTTTCTTCAGTCAGCTTTTGCTTCAAACACTCGAACAGAAATTCTCCTCAGACTGAAATGTCCAAGT